GGGGGGGGGGGGGGGGGGCCTATTAGCTGGATCTTGGATAGCTCGAGACACACGCAGACCGGCGGAGAGGTTGATGAACAATGTGAATCGGATCACGATTTGGCAAAGCGTCCCACTCACCATCGTGAATAGTCTCACTACTCTGGCTGCTGGCTAGCATTCGCGATTCAAGGGTCGAGTGCAGCATGGCCATGCATGCGTGCTGCTGTGCTTGCGGGGTGAAGCCGGCCTGCCGGGGCATGCGGTGGTGCAGGTGCTGCGGGTGCGCGTGCAACTGCATCAGCCAAGGCTGCTAGGCTGCTGGAAAGAATCAGGAATCGACGTTGCGCGCCGTTCCTCCGCCTCCGCGTTGGACCCCCGCCGCTGCATCTGCTTGCTTGCTAATTGCTTGCTTGCTTGCATGGCCAAGCCTGTGACTCCATAGCCGCGTGCGTGAGAGTTGGCCCCTCGCTGCCTTTGCAGCTGCATGCATGCATGCATGCATCGATGGATGGGAATTTGTGGGCGCGCAGTGGGGTGAGTCGCCGTCTGGCCTGGCGCTCTTTGCTGCTTGCTTGCTGCTGCAGTCCGCGAGCGCGAGTCACAGTCTGATGAGTCTTCCGTTCTGTAGTTCGTAAGTGAAAGCAATTTAGGTTGATCATTTGCCTGATTTGCCTGCCTTTCAGCTTGTTGGCTTGCCGCGGATGTCCACCTATACTCTGACGGGACCGTACGCCATTCACCTTCCCTCACTTTGCTTCGGGGCCATCAACGCGCAACAGCTGACCTGCCATTTGCCGCTCCTCTCTTAAACCTTGCTGCCATTTGATTCGATCTGATCTGTACAAAGAGTCAGACAGCCGCGCCAGTGTGGCCGTCGCCGTCGCCGTCGCCGTCGCTGCACACAATTGGTTGCTCGCTGGCCCGACGCTGTCCCAAGTGTTATTCTCCCTGAGTGAGAAGCAAGACTGGCCTTTTGCAACACTTCGAATCAAGGCAGGGCCCCATCAGTCATCCATCCGTCCGTCCATTCCATCACTCTTTCACAATCCGCATCTCGTCATCTCAACCACGCCCAATGCCTCTCCTTTCTCGACTCTCCAGCCTCTCTCCGAAGCGTTTCAATCCCAACTCCAGCTTTCGACGATTCGATACGGACTCGGATCGATACTACCCTCACCCTCATCACGCACATTCCTCTTCCACGGCCGGACAAGGTCCAATCTCGATCCTCATGAGCAAATTGGGCATGCTCCACGCCTCGGAGAACAAATGGGTTCAATTCACCCTCGCTTGGTTGCCTGTGGCTCTGGCCCTGGCCAATTGGATCATCCAGCTGCTAGTCTCCATCGGACTGCCTACCATTCTCAGCATCGACTTTTTACGATTCGATTTGAGCTTTGCTCAGGTGAGCCGGGAGTCAATGGGGCGAGCGGGCGAGCGGGCGGGCAGGCGGCGGCGTCCATGCTCAGCACCAACCATCGCAACTGACAAACTCCATGTCCGCATGCGTGTCTGTCTTGCACATTGCGCAGTTTAGCATCTTTGGAATTTGGACGATCTGCACAGGAACGCCAGAGGAAACGCTGTTTGATGGGACGGTAATCAATCCGGCTTCCTTTAGCTGCCCACGCTCATCCCTTGGCTGGAAAGATACGACTTACTCTACCATCGTCGAGGTGTTCTTTGGCACCGAAGGCAGCGGCTTGCCCAAAGCTGTGAGTTTAATCTCACGAAATGGGGATACGAGAAGCTGAGGGGCAGCATGACATGAGTGCGCAAGGTTGCCGACGAAGCAAAGGGGAGCATGCCAAGCTGGCGCATGGCTGACAGCGCAAACGACAGCTTCTGGATGCTGCGGCTTGCCCCACCACTCGATTGTAGGATTTGTGTGCTGATCAATATGGCGTTTAATTGACAACCTGCCGTCTTGCAAGTCTAACGCACAATGCCGCTCCTCCTCCTCCTCCTCCTCCTCCCCCCGGGCCCGAATAAGCTGGTCGTGCACCCACTTTCCTGCGCATTCTCCTTTTTCGCCTTGATCTCTCTGCTCGTCGGAGTGCAGAAGCCCAACCTCTCTGCGCCACTTTTGGTGTGCATCACCTTTCTCTTGACGCTGGTAGCCTTCATCATCGACCTGGCCATCTTTGTTCCCGCTCATCGCAGACTTTCGGACCCTACGGCCATCAACACGCTGGGTCAAGCGGTCATCGACGTTCGGTACGGCGCAGCTTTTTGGTTGACCCTGGTCACACTGATCCTGAGCGCGTTGATGCTGCTCCTAGTTCTCTCCGCTCACAAGAGCAGACGAAGACAGCGGAACATTTCAGCTGGTGGCTGGTCCTACGAGATGGACAAACCCTTGACCTCATCGGATAGGGAAGCAGGGGCGTCCGCAGGTCTGGGTTTAGGCTTCTCTGGTAGCAGCGCCACTGCGACTAGAGCGGAGCGAGGAGATGCCGCTGGTGGGAATAGCAGTCTGCATTCCCTCAGCAGAAATCCGAGCAGGACCACAGCTAGCACGCCAACAGCTTTTGGCAAATCTTCTTCCGCGCATGGCGGCAGACATTCCAGAAACGCCTCGAGCAATTTGAATTTGGAACATGATGCTGCTGCTGTTGCGTCGGAGGACTTGGAAGGTGCGCTGGATCAGGAGGTGGATTATGGATCTAGAGGCAGGAGGAAAGCTTTGGAGAAGCTGGAAGATAAGGACAAGGACGAGTAAGAGGGTGGGGCGTATGAGGGCAGAGGCTCTTGCTTTTTGTCTTTCCCCCCCCGCGCTTCCTCCTTTCATGTTCTTCGCTTGATCCCTGGCCACGCCATCCGTCCTCCTCGGCGAAGCAAAAGAATTCTGCTCTGCAATTTGACCCCATCCCGGGACCTTGTAGACTCGATGTTCTCTCGCTCGCTCTTTTCGCACGCCTGCTCTGCTCTGCTCTGCTCGACAATCCTTCGACTTGCGCTCGTGGACCCCCCGGATCACTACGTGCCAAAGCTACTTATTCATTGCTTGTTTTTTTTTTCCCCCGTTGGGACAAACGCACAATTTGCATCCGCTCCATTGCGAGCCTGGCTTCATCTTGAGAAAAGGCAATGCTCGGAGCTCAGA